GAGTTAGGTATGGTGCTGCATGCTTTTAATCCCAACACTTGAGAAGCAAAGGCAGGCATATTTCTGTGAGTTCAATAGATCAATATAGATCTATTAACAAATATAGATCAATATAACAAATTCCAAACTAGTCAGGGATATATATATATATATATATATATATATATATATATATATATATATATATATATATATTCAAACCAAAACATCTAGGTCTTCACAAGATCTAGCCCATCAGAACCCTGTCATGGAAGGAGGGAGGGCCTCACTGGGACCCAATCTCCCTGAGAATAAGAGAAAGAAAATTTTTCTTCAGTGGTGTATCCTCCAGCAAGTTGCCCATAATCATATGTGCATATTCTCTCCCATGCTATTGTAAGCAACTGTAATAAAACTCATTGGGTCACCAAAACAAAAAGATATGAAGTGAAAGAGGCCAGTTGTAAAGTGGACAGGGATGTGCAGCAGTTAGAGAGGAACAGGAATTTAAATATTTTGTTTACTATTCATTAAATATACATTTATTTGTTTTATTATATATTTTTGTATATAAATTATATTATGTATATTTATATAATATATTTACTTTAAAATAGATAAATATTTATATATATTAAACATGTTTAAATCAAATCTATTCCCCTCCAAGTCTTTGCCCCATATCACTAATTTTTCCTTTTCGTGCACGCTTTGTTTTTAATACTTACTGGGTCCACTTAGTTCTGCTCATATGTACATGAGTGTGAGATCATCTACTGGAGCATGAGTAGCCTCTCAGGGCCTGCATTCCTGAAGGAAACTGACGCTCCCTTCCCCAGCAGCCATGAGTTACCAACAGTTCCTCAGGCAGTGGTGGGACTTGGTCAGCTCTCCCCTACTCATGCTAGGATTTGGGCTGGCTTGATTTTGTGCATGTCTGTGTATGCAGTAACAGCAGACATGAGCTCATGTGCTCAACAGTCCCATCATGTCCACAAATACTGGTTCTCTGAAGACTTCTACTTCTTTAGCTCTTACAGTCTTTCTGCTCTCTCTTCTAAGATGGTTCGGAGCCTGGTAGGGAGGAGATGTAACATAGATGTCTCTTTACAGCTGAGCATTCCATGCTCTCTTAATCTCTAGATGTTGACAGGTGTGGGTCCACCATCTACTTCAAAATGACATTTCTCTGATGAGGCATGAGAGATGCACTGGTCTGTGATATAAAGATATGAACTTAGGGGACTGTGTCTATTTAGCAGAACAGTAGTACTAGGTTTTTCACTAGGGCATGTGGGATTTGACCCAGTTAACAGAATCAGGCATAGGATCCATCCTGAACAATATAGCAAATTTGAGACAGCCAGGGTTATGTGAGACAGTGACTTGAAAGAGAGAAAGAAAGAAAGAAAGAAAGAAAGAAAGAAAGAAAGAAAGAAAGAAAGAAAGAAAGAGAAAGAAAGAAAGAAAGAAAGAGAAAGAAAGAAAGAAAGAAAGAAGAAAGAAAGAAAGAAAGAAGAGAGAGAGAGAGAGAGAGAGAGAGAGAGAGAGAGAGAGAGAAAGAAAGAAAGAAAGGAAGGAAGGAAGGAAGGAAGGAAGGAAGGAAGGAAGGAAGGAAGGAAGGAAGGAAGGAAGGAAGGAAGGAAGGAAGGAGGGGAAAGAAAAGAGCTTCTGGGGAATCACACATGAGATTGTCCTCTGACCTCTGCAGACACACATGTAAGTACAAATGCACCAGTGCATATATGCACTCACACATGCATACATGGAGAGAGAGAGAGAGAGAGAGAGAGAGAGAGAGAGAGAGAGAGAGAGAGAGAGAGAAACACATACAACATAAAGGGGTGGAATACAGTTTTAAATAAAAGAACTTTATCCAGAGACAGACAGTAGACCCACAGTGCAGCTCATAGCCTCCCCTGGTTCTGAGTTCACCCATAAGCCTTTTATCTCATCCACTCCTGTCAGACTGAGCCATGAAAGCATAAGGTAATGTGGGTTCCCTGCACCAGAGCAACAGAGGGAAGTCCTCAGGGTGGACCATGTCCATGAGGTCAAACAATCATAGCATCCCATAGGTAGGAGGCTAGGAGAGTGCAAAGGAACCCCCAGACCACAGCCTTGACAGTGATTACCAGGGCCAGCAGACACAAGGACAGAATGCCGAGGCTCCCAGCAGCCCAGCAGCTCACAGGCGATGGAGCAGGTGCAGCATGCGCCTTTCACTGCCACAGTCAGAGCTCATTCTCTACAGGAAAAATACCTAAGTGTTGAGGGGCAGTCAGTGGGACATGGACAGAGTTATGTCCAAAGTCAATGCAGGAAGTTCCTTGATGGGGTAAGATTTTAGCTAACTTTGAAAGGAGATAGGGTATAAATTTGGCAGAGAACTAAGTGAGAAAGCTTATCTAGAAGGAAGAAACCCTAGGAAAACCGGGCGCCTTGTGACCACACAGGCTGTTCCTTAGACTTATGAGAGGTGCATAAAATACAAGACCTTTCCAAACAGAAAGCATCCTTGATGCCCAGTTCCTGTGGTCCACGTCCCTGGTGAGTACCTATACTTCCCTTTGCTGAATTCCTATTCTCCAAGCCATGTTTAGGTGAAATCCACCCAGGTCCCTGCCCATGTGCCCCATGCTGGTGGAGAACACATAGCAACATGGAACTCTGAGCCCCTTTCTGTGCCTCTGTCTCAACAGGGGAGAGAGTTTTCTCCAGATTTCTGACAATCAAAGAAACTAAAGGCGGTTAACCTGTGTCAGCAAGGATCTCTCAGAATCCTCCATCCACCCTGAGGACCAAGCCATAAGCCAGGCCTCTCGACTTCACCAAACCTGCAGGAAGAAGGAGTAGAGCCAGAGACCCAGAGGAACCACTGAGTGGGATGGCATGGTCAGAAAGAGCCATGTGGGGTCAAGGACAGGTGTGAGGTCACTTCTGTGTAGATGGATATACAGGAAAGAGCTTCCTGCAGGGGCTCAGCAGCATCCAGATCAGGTTAGCATCTGGAAAAACCGGGACTGGTAACGGTTAACAGCATGGACACAAGAGACAAAGGTTCCATGCTGTATGAACTCTGCATACAGCTTGACAAGACAGCCCACCTCAACCACAAGCACAAGGAACAGCACAACACCAGCATGACGAGACATCCTTCACTCTGCAAATACACAGCAGATTCCTGGTGTTTTGGGGGACTTCGTTGAACAGTAAAAACTCTGGCCATGTCTTCCCCCCATGGAAGAGAGGAAGGCATATCCTGACTTACTACTTGGGATGACCTGGGAGTGCTCACAAAGCCTTGACTACCCCGCTATGAGAACAGAGAAGGCTGAGGACAGCAGAACTCTCCCGATCCTTGCTTCACAGCCTAGACCCAGCCCAGCCAGTCTGCCGAGCTCAGAACCTCCAGTGTGCTGAGGTCCACACTATCATCAACGTTCACTTTAAAGAGAAGTATTGTCAACAAGCTGTGTGTTGCAGAAGGCTGGCGTTGTTCCACACATTTCCATTCACTGTCAGCTTCTTTCTCTCCACAGCCTTAGGGACACGCATGCTACTGCTACCTTTTCCATTTCACAGCTGAAGACAGTGGACGCCCAGAGAACTTAACAAAATGGGCAAGGTCACACAGTAGTTCTTAGTGTTGTGATTTCCCAGGACTTGATCCAGGCAACTAGAGCCCAGAGCCTGCACGCTGAATATCCACACTGAATTTCAAAATGCATCCTGATAAAACTTGCCTTAAAAAGGGAGTTTTGAAGAAAGACATGGGGATCGCCAATGACGGAGAAATGGAATGAGATCTACATGAACAGCCTGGACATGAGTGGGGGTAATGGAAGGCGAAGGTCGAGGGAAAGAGAGCTTGGGGGAGCAGGAGATCCCAGCTGGATCAAGAACAGAGAGGGAGAACAAGGAATAGGAGACCATGGTAAATGAAGACCACATGAGAATAGGAAGAAGCAAAGTGCTAGAGAGGCCCACAGAAATCCACAAAGATACCCCCCACAATAGACTGCTGGCAATGGTTGAGAGACAGCCCGAACTGACCTACTCTGGTGATGGGATGGCCAAACACCCTAACTGTCATGCTAGAAACCCCATCCAACTACTGAGGGATCTGATGCAGAGATCCATGGCTAGGTCCCGGGTGGATCTCTGGGAGTCCAATCAGCGAGAATGAGGAGGGTTTATATGAGCGAGAATTGTTGAGACCAAGGTTGGATAAAGCACAGGGACAAATAGCCAAAAGAATGGAAACACACGAACTATGAACCAATGGCTGAGGGGTCACCAACTGGATCAGGCCCTCTGAATGGGTGAGACAGTTGATTGGCTTGATCTGTTTGGGAGGCATCCAGGCAGTGGACTGGTCCTGTGCTCATTGCATGAGTTGGCTGTTTGAAACCTGGGGCCTATGCAGGATCGCTTGGCTCGGTCTGGGAGGAGGGGACTGAACCTGCCTGGACTGAGTCTACCAGGTTGATCTCAGTCCGCGGGGGAGGCTTTGCCCTGGAGGAGGTGGGAATGGGGGGTGGGCTGGGGGGAAGGTGAGGGGCGCCGGAGGGGAGAGAACAAGGGAATCCGTGGCTGATATGTAGAACTGAATTGTATTGCAAAATAAAAATTAAAAAAAAATTTAAAATAAAGGGGGTTTTGCTGTCAGCACAATCTGGTGCCCTTCCAGGATAGAAGTACTTTGTAGCCAGTGAGGACCAAGACTCTGTTGCTGTGGCTCACTCTGTCCCTAGCTGATAAATGCAACCCCACAGAGATAACACTGAAAAAAAGAGAAACACATGGGTGTTATCTAGATAAGAGAGAGTATAAGAGACTTGAAAATGAGGGTGGGGGGGAAACAGCTACATGCACAACAAGAGGCCTGGACAGCACTGAGAACAGCTCTAGCTTCATCTGGATAAAAGGAAGGAATTCACGTAAGAACTGAGTGCTCTGAGTGCTCTAACTTTGCGTGGGAAATACCTAAGCACTCTCTCCTCTGCTGTTTCAGAGCCATGAACCTGGTAGGAAGGAGCTTGGCTCTGGGCTGGATGACTACCCTCTTGGTGGTACAGGTGTCCGTGGCAAGCACTCCAGGTGGGCACTGAATGCCAAGACCCAGGCGTTATGGGACTTGAGTCCTCAAGAGCTGGAGTATGTACACAACTTCCTGGTGAACAGGAGAGAGCTGGAGCTGCAGTCATCCAAGGTGCTGACGTTGGCCAAGAACTCTGTGTTTCTCATTGAGATGCTGAAGCCTAAGAAGTATGAGGTACTGGATTTCCTAGATAACGGATCCATGCCACCCGTACGGGAAGCCCATGTCCTCATCTACTTTGGTGCCCAAGAGTATCCCAAATGTCACTGAGTATGCTGTGGGGCCAGTTGAACAGCCCATGTACATGAGAAAACTGAGCCGCAAGGGAGGCCAGGAGCTGTCATGGGCATCTAGACCCATGTCCAAAGTAGAGTCTGTCTGTCCTCCTCTTCCATACTCTGAAGACAGCCACCAAGCCCTTACAAGAGATTTTCTTTGGTATCACTGGCTTCACACTACAAGACTGCAATGGCAGCTGTCTGACCTTCACTAATGTTGCCCCTCATGCTATGACCTTCAGAAAGCGCTGGAGCTGGTTTCTATTGCAACGCTTGGTGAATGGCTACTTCCTGCAGCCCACAGGGCTAGAGATCCTTGTGGATCATGGGAGCAAAGATGTCTAGGACTGGAGAGTGGAGCAGGTCTGGTATAATGGCAAGGTCTATAACAGCCCAGAGGAACTGGCTCAGAAGTATGCAGATGGAGAAGTGGACATAGTGGTACTCGAAGACCCACTGCCCAAGATTTCACCACAGTACTCAACCTACAAGCCCAGTGCTGAATTCCCCAAGCCTATCAGCAAGGGTGGTCCTCAAGTGCTCCAGCCCAGTGCTGAATTCCAAATACCCATCAGCAAGGATGGTCCTCGAGTGCTCAAGCCCAGTGCTGAATTCCAAATACCCATCAGCAAGGGTGGTCCTCGAGTGCTCAAGCCCAGTGCTGAATTCCAAATACCCATCAGCAAGGGTGGTCCTCGAGTGTTCCAGCCCAGTGCTGAATTCCAAATACCCATCAGCAAGGGTGGTCCTCAAGTGCTCCAGCCCAGTGCTGAATTCCAAATACCCATCAGCAAGGGTGGTCCTCGAGTGTTCCAGCCCAGTGCTGAATTCCAAATACCCATCAGCAAGGGTGGTCCTCAAGTGTTCCAGCCCAGTGCTAAATTCCAAATACCCATCAGCAAGGGTGGTCCCTCGAGTATTCCAGCCCAGTGCTGAATCTCGCATACCCATCAGCAAGGGTGGTCCTCGAGTGTTCCAGCCCAGCGTTCCGGTATAGCCTAAAACACAACACTGTGATCTACGGGGACTGGAGCTTCTTCTTCAAGCTGTACTCTTCTTATGGGCTTCAGCTCTTTAATGTGTACTTCGGGGGTGAGCGGATCGCCTATGAGATTGGTGTGCAAGAGGTTATGGCACTGTATAGAGGACACACAGCTGAAGGAAGGGAGACCAAGTACGTGGATGTGGGCTGGGGCCTAGGAGGTATCACTCACCAGTTAACTCCAGGCATTGACTGTCCCGACACAGCCACCTTCCTGGACGTCATCCACTACTCTGACAGTGACAGCCCTGTCCTCTATCAACGAGCCCTCTGTATCTTTGAAGTGCCCAAAGGAGTCCCCCTTAGACGGCACTTCAACTCCAACTTCAGAAATAGCTTCAGTTCCCATGCCAGGCTAAATGGACCCATGCTGGTTCTGAGGACAACATCGACAATCCACAATCATGATTACATCTGGGACTTCATATTCCACCCCAATGGCGTGATGGAGGGCAAGATGTATGCCACTGATTATGTCCACGCCACTTTCTACACCTCAGAAGGGCTGGTCCACAGCACTCACCTGCACAGCCACCTACTTGGAAACATCCACTCCCACCTCGCACATTACCGAATTGACCTGGATGTGTCAGGTAGGACTTGAGACCAGACCCTCTCAGGTACTAACTTCTTATTTCCTAACAAGAGACAGGGCCTGATTTAAAAAAAAAAAGCCGGGCGGTGGTGGCGCACGCCTTTAATCCCAGCACTCGGGAGGCAGAGCCAGGCGGATCTCTGTGAGTTCGAGGCCAGCCTGGTCTCCAAAGCGTGTTCCAGGAAAGGCGCAAAGCTACACAGAGAAACCCTGTCTCGAAAAACCAAAAAAAAAAAAAAAAAATCAGCCTTCTTACACCACACATAAGGAAACATCCGCTGTGCCCCTAAATGTGGGGTGTGCATTCCTCTTGTTGGGTCTCAGTGGAGTGGTGGACAGGGTTGGGGGAGAGGAGTGCCATGAAGGGTAAGAAATGCTACTTTCCAGTACTGAGAGATAACTACAGTGTCACCTGAGTGCTCAGTGTTTCTTGGATAAATGATATCACTACAGAGGCATGGCATAGCTGTGAGACTTGACTTCAAATCCTATAACGGAACAATGTCCCCAACATGGCTACCAGCCCAGATGCTTAGATGCCACCCTCTTAGTCCTACTTGGCCCTCAGAGTACACCAATAGTCCTCATGTCTGAAGAAACACAGGCTACTATGTCTATAGGTTAAGACCCCAGGAAGCAGACTGGAGCTCTAGAAAACAGGCTATGGTCACCCTTCTGACCCAGTTGCCATGACGGACCCATGAGCTGTCCTCTAGCTTATCTGTTAAGAGGGCTTGGCCTCCCTTCTTCCTACAGTGCTACCCCGTGCCTGCCCCCAGCCCCACTTCTTCCTAGGGGCTGCTGCGGATATGGACTAGCAGGGAGAACATACCAAACAGGAGGAAGTTTGTCCCAGCCCTTGATTCTCATCCACCTCTCATGATACAGGTACCAAGAACATATTCCAGACACTGAGGATGAGAGTGGAAAACATCACCAGTCCCTGGACCCGGAGGAGCCAGCAGGTCAAGCCCATACTTGACAAGACTCAGCACTTCTGGGAGCGCCAGGCAGCCTTCCACTTCAGACAGACTCTGCCCAAGTACCTGCTTTTTAGCAATGCTGGGAAAAGTGTGCTAGGTCACAGTCGGAGCTACCGCCTGCAGATCCCCTCTGTGGCTGAGCAAATGCTGCCCCCAGGCTGGCAGAGCTCACCAGCTTTCACATGGCCCAGGTGAGGCAACTCGGGCAAACTGGAGAGGAAGGCCAGAGCTCCCTCAGTGACTGAGTGTGTCATCGGCCTCGTCCACGAGGCCACGTTTGTGCTGGCCTCTGGGTCTGCCTCCTAACGCAGTGCAGGAGGGAGTGGGGAGCTCACAGGAATCCTAGCTGACAGCTGGAGGTGAGCAGTCTCTCAGGTTCCTGGAGACGATCACTTTTTCTGGGGCAGCAGCAATTTCTCTATCCTTGGTCCTGAGGGTGTTTCTATGGAGGGGATCAGAGGCAGCCCCATTTCTGGAGCGCCTTGGATTTCTCTCTGCCTGCAGGTACCAGCTGGCAGTGACGAAGTACCAGGAAGCCGAGCGATTCCACAGCAGCCTGTACAACCAGAACCACCACCGGGCTTACCCTATGGTCTTTGAGGACTTTGTTCACAACAATGAAAACATTAAAGATGAGGTACTGATCCAGTCCCCTTTGCCCACCTCGGGTCTTGTCACTAATCAGTGACTGGAGCTTTCCTTAGTCCCAGGATGGTGGCTGGTTGTGCAGAGGGCAAGTTCAGAGGTCAGGACAGATGGGCCCACATCTTTTAAATAGGCAGATCAAATCTTGGGAAATTTAAAGACATATCTAAAAACCACCCCAAACCCAAGGATCCTTGGGTAGCCAGTATTTGGCACTGCCCTGCCCACTGAGACCCATGTTTCTGCCATAGGACTTGGTGGCCTGGGTGACTGTGGGCCTCTCACACGACCTCCAACCTGAGGATGGCCCCAACATGGCGACACAAGAGAGCTCTGCAGGATTCTTGCTCCAGCCATGTGATTTCTTCCAGGGCTTCCAGAGATATACAGGCACAAAAGCAGCAACCACATCAGGTACCAGAGCCTTGAGAAGGTCTACTCCATGCCTCCACATTTCAGCTACAATGGGACACACAACCTTGTGTGAAGAGTCTTGTCTGGCTCCTTCCTAGTAGTTCCAGAGCCCCACAGAGGCAGACAACAAACCCTTCGCTTTCTATCATTGCATGCTGCCTCTTAGAGGCAGGGGAGGCTATGGGCCACATGCTCAGATGGGCAGCCATGGGCTCCATTCACATTTCCCCATTGCACCCTAAAAGACCACCATGAGCAGGGCAAAGGAAGCCCAGCAAGATACTGGATATCTCTATTAGGTGAGTTTTCAATGTCTGAGGATCCCTCTCAGGGAAGCTTTAGGGCAGTGGTTCTCAACCTTCCTAATGCTGTAACCCTTTAATACAGTTCCTCGTGTTGTGGTGACCCCCAACCATAAATAATTTCCTTGCTACTTCATAACTATAATTTTGCTACTTTTGTAAGTTGTAATGTAAATACCTTGTGTGCAGGATATCCAATATGCGACCCTCCCAAAGGGGTCGCAGCCCACAGGTTGAGAACCACTGCTTTAGGGGAATTGTCCCAGCTCACTGATGGGCACGCAGAAGGGAGCCGCTACAGGGAAATCTCACAGGATTACCCACATCTCACCCTTTGGCCATTCTTCTAGCATCTCCGACTCATTACCAGTGTGTATGCTGATTCACTGTGCGTTGGCTGTACAACAAAACCTTGCGGACAACTGACTTTCCAGCTGTGGTGAAGAATGGTTCAGTAAACTAGGTGCCGGATGATGCAAAAAGCACATGAGTCTTACAGTCTGTGGACAACAAGAAAACCCTACAGGACACACCAAGTTACAAAGGAAAACAGACAGAGACTAACATGGATAGCATGATATACATAGATGTGTGCGTATACGTGTGTGTGTGTGTGTGTGTGTGTGTGTGTGTGTGTGTGTGTGTGTGTGTGTGTGTGTGTGTGTGTAAGGACGGAAGGAGACTAAAACCACTTTTCCAGGAATGAAAGGTAGATGACATACAGGTGCCCTTGAAGAGCTGAGCCGTGCAAGGAAACAGACTTGCCCTCCCGCCTCCATTAGGAACACAACCCTAGAGGACTGCAGGGCTCGAGGCAGGGCAGAGACTCGGCAGGCAGAGTGCTCGCACTCAAGCATGATGACCCGAGTCCAGATGCCCAGCACGCATGGGAAGGCAGGTGCCGTGGCCCATGCCTGTAACCCAGCACTGATTTTAGGTGTGGCAAAGATAGGAGATCTCTGGAGCTTGCTGGCCAGCCACTCTAGCAGAACACAGTGAACTTGGGTTCAGTGAGAAACCCTGCCTCAAAAAATACGGTGGAGAATGAGTAAGACACATGACATTGACTGCCATGCTCCGCTCCCACGCACATGCATCAAAGAACACACTGCCACACATACAAGCGCACACACACACACAGAAGGATAAAAGAAGTGAGAGCTGACACCCATGTTTGTCCGGTCGTTCCCTCTCTATCTGCTGGACTGTGTGTGCGATGGAGTTCAGTGGGGCCTGTTGAGCGGAGCAGAGACAGACAGAGCAGAGTTCGCATGTACATCCAACGGGACACTAAAAAGCCTAGCAGGGAGGGAGCAGAAGGAAAGGGACCAGGTATGACGTAAGGGACAGGAGAAATGAAGACACAGCGGCAAGAAAGCAAGAGCCCAGGCCCCTAGGGATAGAGGATGGCACTGCAAACGAGTGTGTTTGGGCTGTAGGCATGCCTCCTGTCTACAACAAGGAGGGTCTTCAGTGACTCCACAGCCCGTGTGTCTCTCCCTGTGCTGCCCATGTCATTTTGGAAGAGACTGTTCTCAATCTCTTCCTCACCTCCTTCCTTCTGGACAAAGAAGAAAGACATCTGGGGAGAAGATTAGAAAGCAGGAAGCCAGCTATAAAGACATGAAAGCATTGGAAATGCACACTGCCCAGTGGAGGTGCCAGCCCCCTTCTGGAAAGACAGCAGAGATCATTGGTAGGCAGAGACTGACTGCAGGGAGGGAGGAGGGGGGAGAACTTGGAGGACTGAGGCTCTGTGAGATCACTCCCTGGCACTGCTATGGAAGGAGGGAGGGAGGGGGAAGGAGGGAGGGAGGGAGGGAGGGAGGGAGTGAGGGAGGGAGGGAGGGAGTGAGGGAGGGAGGGAGGGAGGAAAGGAGGGAGGGAAGGAAGAGGCATGAAAGTAGAAGGGGCCTAGCTGGGAAGGAGATTCAAGACATTTAAAGGAATAAAAAAGAGAGTAAAATGGGAGCCTGCATGTGGACATGTATGAAGATATCATCACAAACTATGTATAATTAATATTTTCTCATAAAAATACTTTACATGAAGTCTAGAGATAAGATGGCTGAATTAAGTGACAGCCTTGGAAAATAAGGACAGTACCTTAAAATCCAGCACCCAGAGGACGACAGAGGGTGAGGTGACACATACTTGTAATCCCAGACCTGGGGAGCCAGGCACACGCGCGCGCACGTGCACACACACACACACACACACACACACACACACACACACACAGAGAGAGAGAGAGAGAGAGAGAGAGAGAGAGAGAGAGAGAGAGAGAGAGAGAGAGAGACCTGGAGTACCCTAGCCAGCCCACCTAGCAGGCTTGTCAAGCTCTGGGCCAATAAGAGATTTGGTTCCAAAATGGAAAAAAAAAACAAAAAAAAAGAAAAGAAAAGTACAGTGTGGTGGTATTTACCTATAATCTTAAAAGTGGGGAGATGTAGGCAAGAGGATCAGAAGCACATAGCTAAACTAGATTCCAGCCATGGTCCACATGATGCTGTCTACAAAACATGAGAGAAAGTAAAGAAAAGGAACAAAATAAGGTGAATGGTGCCTGTAGATCAACTCCTTTGTCTCCTGACCTGCACATGTATGTGTATAAAAGTGAATGTACACCAGTGTACACACCGGTACACACACACATATAAATACATATCACACGTTCACACACCAGTATACAGAGAAAGAGAGAGGTAAATCCAGCTTACCAGTTTACACGCTTCGTGCTATCCCCCTGGCTTGGATTTGCCCAGAGCCCCTTGTCTCACCTACTCCTGCCAAGATGGACCCTGAAAGCATGGAGCCTCATGATTTCCTGACCAATAACAGGGCAAGGCCAGCAGAGGAGCAAGACGAGGGAAGAGAGAAGTTCCCAGAGCACATGATGTCCGCAGAGCCAAACAACCACGACAATCCACAGGTAGGAGGCTAGGAGAGTGCAAAGGAGCCCACAGACCAGCCTTGACAGTGATCGCCAGGGCCAGCAGACACAAGGACAGAATGCTGAGGCTCCCAGCAGACACAAGGACAGAATGCTGAGGCTCCCAGCAGCCCAGCAGCTCACAGGTGATAGGGCAGGTGCAGCACGCACCTTTCACTGCCACAGTCAGGAAATTTTGTTCTCTGAAAACTAAAAACTTAAGTGCCGAGGGGCAGTGAGTGGGACATGGACAGAGTCAGGCCCAAGGTCAACATAGGAAGTCTCTTGATAGGGTAGGATTTTAACTAATTTTGAAAAGAGACAAGGTTAAATTTGGCATAGAGAGTTAAATGAGAAAGCTTATCTGGAAGGAAGCATCTCCCACGCGTTTCCAACCCTTGGGGAAGGCACATGCCCAACAAGGAAACACATTTTCAAATAGAAAACACAAAGCATCCACATTGCTTAGGTCCTGTGGCCTAGTTCCTCCCTGGTATGCCTGATTAGTATATGTATACTATATGTATAGTATATGTATTAGTATATGTATACTATATGTATACTATATGCCTTGCCTACATCTTACCCTGCCACTCATCTTAGGTGAAATTCACCCAGATCTAGCCCATATTCCCCCAATAATGGAGGACACCCAGCAATGAAGACATCAGGCCTCTCTCTGTGTCTCTGTCTCAACAGGAGCATTTTCTCTGCATTTCTCACAGAGTGTTCTGATCAGGAAAAAAACATAGGAAATTAATTACCTGTAAGAGCAAGATCCTCTCAGAGTCTTTCCACTCTCTCAGAAGCCCAAGCCATAGGCCAAGACCCTGAGTCTCACCCCTACCTACTAGAGTGAGGCGTGTAGCCAGAGACCCTTGAACAGGACCCCACTGTCACAAAGAGGCTTCCAGCTTGAGACAGGCACAATGCAGCTTCTGTGTAGAGAAATACCACCGCTGGGGTCTCCCAAAGGGGCCCAATTGCATCAAGGCTGGGTTAAGATCTGCAGAAAACAGAATCGGTGAGTGTGGCAGCTGCCTCCATCTGTGGAAGAGCCACGATCTCCCACAAACTGTGGGCACACCAGGGTCTGGTGGGCAGTCCCACATCAGGCAAAAGGGAAGACAGAGCCACCTAACACTGGCAGTATCATAAGCAACCTTGCCTGGATACATGCCCAGTGTTTCATGGGTGCCTTGAGGACAGGGGTAGATGGTGAAGTCCCTGACCATATCTTCCCTTAAAGAAAAGGAGGAAGGGCTTCACTCTGGCTCATAACCTAGTATGACATGACAGAGGTGCTCCTATAGTCTTGATAATCAAGGGACCCCAGCTTGAGTCCCCACTGAGAAGGCAGGAAAAGCTGGGCAAGGCAGGATTTTCCCCACCCTTGATTCACCCCCAAGACTCAGGCCAGCCGGTCTACTGTGTGCCCAGAACCTCTAATGTGCTGAAGTCCAGACTCTCATCAGGGTTCACTTTAAAGAAAACCACAGCCAACACACCGTGTGTTCCAGAAGGCCGCCGTGGTTCCACACATTTACATTTACTGTCCTCTTCTTCTTTCTCTCTGTGGCCTTGGGGACATGCACACTGATGCCACTGTTTCCATTTCACAGTTGAAGACAGTGGCAGTCCAGGGAGTCGAAACACATGGCCAAAGTCACCCAAGTTGTCCTTAGCTCTGTGATTTCCCCGGATCTGATCCCAGGCGACTTGAGCCCAGAGGCTGTTCTCTGAACGCCCACACACTGAACTTCAAAATGCATGCCCCTAAAAGGTAATTTATGGCATCAAGAATGTAGCTTGGCTGTCACAGTAGCCCTCTGCTGCACCAGGACATGAGTGCTTTGAAGCCATTGAGGACCAAGCCTTGGGCAGCTGTGATTTACGGTGCTTCTGGATGAGGAGTATTCCCCCACTGAGACAACTCTGAAACAAAGGATAGAAACATGGGCTGCCATCTAGATAGAAATTTTCAGATGAGGGGGAGTAGTTAAAGCACACCCAGAGGCCCGGGAAGCACGGGAATCAGAGTGGAGACTCTGAGACTGTCTCTGGCTTTGGTGAGGGTGAGCAGAGAAGCCTGGTTGATAAGATGATACCAAGGCTTGGCCAGGCCACGGCACTCTGAGGTTCTCCTAGGAGGAGGAAATACCCAAGTTGTCTCTTCCGTTTGGCTGTGTTCCAGAGTCATACGGCTGGCCAGAAGGAGGTTGGCACTGGGTTGGGTGTCTGCCGCCTGGTGCTACAGATGGCCATGGCAGAGTGTCCCAGCTGTACCCCATAGGAAAAGACTTGGGTGTTCTGGAACCTGGAAGCTCAACTTCCTGATGAAGCAAGAAGGAGCAGGAGCCGAAGCCATCCAAGATACTGACTTTGGCGAAGATCTCCGTATCCCCATCAAGATACTTCTCAAGAGGAATGTGATGGATTTTCTGGATAAA